AATTAATTAATTAATTAATTAGAACCCCGTGTTCAAAGCCATTTTGGACACATGTTTCTTAATAAACCCTTCCCTCTTCCCTTATTTTTTCCTTCCAAAGAGTTCAAACACTTCATGAGAGGAAATGCCTACAGGAACACCTGTACCACCCCAACTCAACCATCTTGAGTGCACTTGCCCTGAAGCTGCAGACTTGCCCGAGTCAAAGCCCTTGCAGGCAAATGCTAACGTGGCTCCCCCAAAGGGCCAGCAAAGCTGCTGCCAGCACACCTGGGCACGTTTGCTCTTCCACAGCGATGACAGCATTACCTGTCTCAACGCCACTGTCGGTGCATTACCTGTCTCAACGCCACTGTCAATATTCAGTGTCTCGTTGGAAGGAAGCATGGTCCCCTTCTTGTAATGCTGCTTACAGATTTTTAAGCCAATTATGTTGTCTTCATTTTCTCCATAACCAAGGGTCCCCAAGGATACGTTCTTTAGATGCTGATACTATTAAAAACAGGTAAACAGAAACACACATGAGCTCTCGAAAATTTGATCAAAAGTTACAGTATATGGGATCGACTTTAAGCTATTTTTAAGTGCTTGTATCACTAAAACACCCCATACTAAAATACAACAAATTCATTTTTCAGACTGTACAGAAACACACCGCTTCCCAGAACTCAAAACCGAAGTACACATGTTAACAGACATCCCCACCTCTCAGAGGCCAGGCTAAAGTCCTCCCCTTATCTCTCTGACTTCACTGCTGACTGCTGCCCTGCCCACCCTGGCCTCCCGCTAGTTCCTGGAGCTCCACGGGCATACACTGCCTCAGGTCTGGGCTCTTCCCTATCTGGGATCCTGGTGTGGTTCACTCCTTCAAAAGCTGGCTCAAGGATCACTCCTCTAAGTGAGGCCTCCCCTCACCACCACCACCCGTGCAGGCACTCCGGAGTCTTGGTTCCACAGCAGTTCCCACTTTCTGGCCCTCGCACCTGACCAGAGCCGGCCCCTCTCCCCGCTTCCGTTCACACGCTGTCCTCATTCACGATCTGCACCACAGGCTGTCGGAGGCCCCTGATGGTCAGTATTGGGACTTTAAGACGCCAAGGAAACTCTTAGCCAGGAACAGAACAATGCTGTTCATCTCAGAAATGTGTGAAAACTTCATTCGGTTAAACCCATTTCTGATATAGTATCAGTTTGAAGATTTAGTTTGATCACAACCCAAGACTTTGAACTCCTCAAACCCTCACCGTGCCGGGTCCAGGAACCCTCAGGTATGCCAATCGGGACCATGACCTCATTCTAATCAGGCCCCTTCCGCATCGAGAGATTCATCGTAAACGACACTCCAGTAGCTATATCTGGACTTTGCCTTCCCCTTCCCAGCACTGCCCCGACTTGTCAAGTTGGGATTTCTCTTATTGCTGTGAACTATCTGCTCAGCCTTCCTGATCGCTGTGTTTATTACTTTTTAATTTTGTTTTTGGTGGTGTTTTCAGTTAAATCATGCTATACATCTAGGGTCTTTTCATTTGCCTGGTTCTTGCCACTAGAATGAAACTCAACAAGAGTTTTTTTAAACACAACCAGAACAATGTTTTATTCACTGCAACACTCCCAAGTGTCTAGAACAGTATCAGATACATATTACTCACTCTGACTACCATCGAGTTAATTCCGACTCAGGGACCTTGCAATATAGGATACAACTATCCCTGTGGGTTTCTGAAACTGTAACTTGGAGTAGAAAGCCTCAACTTTCTCCCTCTGATAAGCACTATTTATTCTTGA